ATTACCCATCTAGTGCCGATTGGTCTGTAAAAATATGGGTGCTCTTCCCATATGCCCAATGCGCCTGAGGCGTGAAAATTGATATTTACTGAGTATTATTATATTACTACTGTTATTATGAACTGGCTCTCGAAAGGGCAGTTGGCACGTTCTGTTGTGGGTTTTTATTTTAAAACAGCTAAATTGTGACATCTACGCATTTTGGCGCAACATCAGATTTCTTCTAATGACGCATTAGTTTGTTGTGTGCGCGTGCTAATGTTCTGGTAAACTGTGCCCTAATGAAAAGGTCACTGTCTGGGTGTTGTGAAATAAACATGTAAAGGGTGAGAGAAACGTTGTATTTAAGGGGAGATAAAAACACCGACGTGGGAGTAGTTTTATCTGAAAGGCGAGAAACGTACAAGCTACATACATTATGATATGAACGAAAAAACAGAGGCTTGTTTTCTAAAGATGGCGTTAGGGTCCACGTTGTTACAACATCGTTGGCGTTGACGGCTTAGAGGTTGAGAATGTAGTTTCATAATTCCCAATATCCCTGGTTTCGCATCACAGCGGAGGGTGATTCTATAAGGCAAGACCGGCTTTGCGTCGATTTCAATAAACAATATAAAAGAAAGAGATAATTCCCGAACGAAAAAGTATATCAGCGAGCTTTCACAATATAACAAACACAATAAAACGAGAACGTTGCGGCTATACAGCCTTCATCAGCACAAACACAAATTAGACAGTACTACACAAATACACAATATCACTAGCAATATCTATCCAGCAATGCCTGGCACCCACTATAATCTGGGTTAAACTTGGGGACAAGGTCAATTTTTGAAGGGTTAAGGCCAGCCTCGATGTGGATCTGACCCCATGACCTTCGGGTCAGTAGACGAGAGTCTAGCCACTACGCTACCATGGTGACCCATGTTAAACAATATGTTCCAGAATGTTCTAAGAATGTTCTAAGAATGTTCTAAGAATGTTCTAAGAAGAAAAGGCAAAAAGGAAAGGAACTGTGCATCCAAACTCAAATGTCATGACCAGTGTTGCCACTTTGAATGATTTACATCCAGATTTAGATGTTTTCCTTGTATTTAGATGGAGTTTTTTGACGTTTGATTGATGGATGTTTTTGTTTTTTTAGATGTTTTTCAATTGGAGTGACTTTATCAAATCTTACCTAAGAAACAGGATTACATTTGACCTTTTAGATGCTATCTTGACAATAAAATTCGGCACGATAAGAGTAAGAAAAGCTGTTCTACTTATCAGCTCCCTGATTGGGTATTAAAAGAAATGGGAACAGCTAAAGCATACCAGAGTCATTTTGGATATGAAGCTTCAACTTCATCATCCAAACTTTGTTTATCCGGTGGATCTTGTAAGGCAAACTTTAGTAAAGATGAAGACATGATTCTATAGCTTAAGTCATATCTATTGCTATGTAATTTGTGACTAATTCCATTTGGATGTTGTTTCTAGATTTTTTCTCGCAAATTTAGATGTTTTTAGATATTTTTTACTCCGTTTTGGATGTGTGTGTGTTTTTTTTTTTTTCATAGAAAAGTTGCAACACTGGCCGTGACCTAGAATATGTAAAGACCCAGCAATTCACATCCTTGAGGCAGTATCCGCTATGTGTCCACTATACCTTTTACTGTGGTGCTTCAAATTGTTATGACACCCCTGGTCGTATAAAGTGAACGAAGTAGTACAGGAACAAGCAATGGACTCGGCCGATATTGTCAATGCTCACAGGGGAGCAGCACAAGAAGAGACTTCACGAGACTGACGTTGGAATCGACAACACTCAAAAGACTACAATATGCTTCCGGTCAAACGAGGGTGTCGCCAAACCCATGAAAACTACACAGCGTTGCCAAAGGAAAATACTAAACCAACACAGAACTGGCGCAATCAGTCGGACACATGCTGGGGGTGGTAGTTTTTTTTTTTGTTTTTTTACTTTCTTAGATATTTTTTTAGTATGAGGTCATTCTATTCAGCGCTCTATGGAATGGTTCTATGTGCAATGAGGATTAACTAACTAAGTGAAGACGCCTGAAAAAACCTTACCGACTACGAACGCGGGCAGACAAAGGGCTAGCATAACGACGACTGTAATCGTGGTCATGTGATGACAACCACAAATAGGGTCGAACACGTCCAAGCGATGTGAGAAACCGTGGAAGGTGACCCTTTAGGATATACAAGACAAGACCTGTTCTTTGTTGACATAGGAACTTATGTTGTGTATGTTGATGAAAAGGAACATCTTTGTGTTTTGTTCAACAATAATAATATCGTTTGTGTTGTTGAATCACAGAAACATCGTTGTGTTTTTTAAACATAGAACATCGTTGTGTTTTGAACGTAACTCAATCTTTGTGTTTGTTTGAACATAGAACTTCGTTGTGTTTGTTACTAAAGACATCTTTGTGTTTTGTTAACAGAACATCGCTGGCTGGTGGGGAACTAGAACACTTTGTGTTGTTTAAAC